GTCGCTACAGGTACAGGTGTGTGTGTGTGTGTGTGTGTGTGTGTGTGTGTGTGTGTGTACAGGTGTGACTCTGCAGGTAGTAATGGTGGACGATTGACTTTGGCAACACTGGGGAGCTTCTTCAATGGACTGTCACCTCTCCCCTCTCCTCCCCACCTCCTATCCCCTTCTTCTCTCCCCTTCCCTCCCCATCAGAACCCTTGTTGGCAAGGGCTATGGAATTAACATCACCTATGCTCGTACTTTCTATCTTCACTTCATTCGTTCTGTAGTTGACTATCATGCTCTCCATCTTGTGACTATTCCACCTAAACAACTCAACAGCCTCGAGGTAGTGCAAAATGAAGCCATGCGCATCATCCTAGGTTGCCCAAAATCAACCAGAATTGTAAACATGAGGAAAGAGCTCGGACTGCCCTCCCTATCTGAGAGGATAGCTCTACTTAATACCATGTTTTGTGTCAAAGTTTTGAAGAACAATGGTTCTCAAACTACAGCTCAAACTGAGTTGATGTTCTATCTAAGTAATCCCGACCATCTCGCCAACCTTCCACAAAAGACTCTCTTTGGGGCGTGGCTTCATAAAAGTGTTGCAGATCTCTTGAAACTGAATGTCCCAATCACCCCAGACGAACCTATTAATGCCATTCCTCCTTGGCTGGACATATCAGTTCCTATTAATTACACTCCTGTTGGTAGTAAGCAAATGTTAAACACCGATGTGGTGAGATGTGTCACACTAGAAACTATTAACAGACACATAGAGTATTAAATCAAGTGAATGTTATGCTTTTACTGATGGTTCTGTGCAGACAAACACAGGTAGAACAGGCTGTGTAATTGTAATATATAAAGAAAAAGAGATGATAGTGTCAAACAAACAAAGGCTGAACAACTGGGCCAGCACAACACAAACCGGAATCTACTTAGCCACAGACTACTTCAAAGAAAATGGAGGTGGGGTGATATTCTGTGACTCTCAAAGTGCTTTGAAATCAATGAACAGCCCGTCAGGCTCTATGTCTAAAGTTGTATGTGATATTAAAAGGAATGCGATAACTGCCAATGAGAACAACTTTCGTATCGAATTTGTGTGGATTCCGTCCCATGTTGGAATGAGGTATCATGACCGTGCTGATAGACTGGCCAATGAGGCATGTAAGAAAGAAAATGTTGACCGTGACCTTGGCCTGTCCAATGCTGTAATTAAAAACATTCAAGTCAGAATCATGAACTCTGATCTAGAAGAAGTGAGAAATGCAGAGAGACCTGACAGTTGTAGCATTAGTAAATATGACAAATTTTGTGACAAGAGGTACCGGTATGGCCAGCATAAGGACAGAACCAGACAATGTGATGTAGTCGTGGCCAGAATTAGGCTAGGATACAGACACATCTGGCAAGTTAGTAACGCTGTACCCATACCGGAACACTCAGCATGTAAACTTTGTGATAAACCTTTAAAGCATACACTTGAACACTATATTATTGAATGTGACACTGTCAAAGACTTCAGGCCACCTGACTTATTGTATCTTGAACTATGTAATTACTTCATTGAATCAGGTGTGCTTGAGGACATTCTTGCTGTTTATCCCAAATTTGCTGCTAGCCCACACTGATTAGTCTTCAATTAGAATATGACTCCAATGTATGTGATCCACTGACCTATATATACTGCTAATGAATATGATGTATTTCCTTCTTTGTGTACGAACCTCTGTCCTGCGTGGCAGCGAACAGTGGCATTACCCACATGAATCTGACCTATATATAGTGTCAATGAATATGATGCATTCTTTGTGTACGAACCTCTGTCCTGTATGGCAGTGAAGAGTGACATTACCCACATGACTCTGACCGACATATATGTATGTATGTGTGTATATGTGTATGTATATATATATATATGTATATGTATATATGTATATGTATGTATATGTGTATGTGTGTGTGTACATATATGTATATGTGCTGTCAATGAATATGATGCATCTCTTTGTGTACGAACCTCTGTCCTGCGTGGCAGTGAACAGTGACATTACCCATATGAATCTGACCTCTGTACATTTATAGCTGTTAATGAATATGATGTATTTCTTTGTGTACGAACCTCTGTCCTGCGTGGCAGTGAGAAGTGATACCACCCTCAGTGTCAAGACCTGACTGAATTACTCAGAATAGGCAAACTGTATTACAAGCTTTGCCAATAAATTTGTTAAACTAAACTTAAAAAATCTCTCAATATCCTCCCATCCTCTTCCCCCCTCCCTCTCCCACTCCTCCCCAACAGAGTGAGGGGAATCATCACCCTCTCCCCACGGCGTCACTGTCTATGTCCCCTCACTACCCTCACCATCTCCTCCCCTTCCCCTTAATTCTCCCCTCACTTCCACCCCCTCTTCCATTCTTTTCCCATCTCCTTCTCTTCAATCCTTCTCCCCTCTCCCCTTCCTCTCATTTCCTCCTCCTTTACCCGTCCAACTCACCCCCTCCCCTCCCCCCTTCCCCTCACTAAAGGGAAGGGGGAGAGACGTCATCGCCTCATGTGCCACGTAATAAAAGTTCGGTTACCATCATTCACACCCAGGAGGAGGAGGAGGGGGAGGAGGAGGAGGAGGAGGAGGAGGGGGGAGGAGAGGAGGAGGAGGAGGAGGAGGAGGAGGAGGAGGAGGAGGAGGAGGAGGAGGAGGGGGAGTAAGAGAGGAGGAGGAATAAGAAGAGGAGGGGAGTAAGAGAGGAGGAGGAAAAGATGAGGGGGAATAAGAGAGGAGGAGGAAAAGATGAGGGGGAATAAGAGAGGAGGAGGAGGAGGAGGTATAGAAATGAGAGAGAGAGACAGAGAGAGAAAAAGGTAGAAGAAAGGAGAAGAAAGAAATGAAAACAAGAATAACGATAAAAGGTGAAGAAAAGGTGGATGACGGAGAGAAAGGGAGAGGAGAAGGAGAGAAAGGAGAAGGTAAAGAGAAGGAGTAAGAGGAATCGTGGAGATAAGAGAAGGAAGGAAGAAAAAGAAAAGAGAGAAGCAGATAAAAAAGAATGAGAAGATAATAAAAGATATATAAAGGAAAGGGAGGGAGAGAAGGAGAGAGGGGGAAGGAAGGAGGGGGAGGGAAGGAGGGGGAGGGAAGGAGGGAGAGAGAGGAGAGAGAATGAATAACATCCACTCTTCCTGGAATCATGGCTGCCTCATTTAGCCTAGTTACTTAATCTGAGAGAGAGAGAGAGAGAGAGAGAGAGAGAGACACGAAGGGCAGGGGGTGCAAAGAGAACCCCTTGAAGTGAACGGGTCGGGGGTTGTGTACAATTTTCTCTCTCAGTCAGTCAGTCAGTCAGTCAGTCAGGTCATGCATTCATAGGGCTGACTAAAGGAGCATAAAATAAACACGAAAAATAATTCAAATCTCAGTAAAAATGTCTTTAAAATTATAAGTTAAGGATTATTATTATTATTATTATTATTAAACGACCCAACGACGACCACCACGCGACCTATTCCCCAACTGGGTTACGGTGGGGAGAAGGAAAGGAGGGAAGGAGAGAGGAGGGGCTGAAAGGGTGGAATGGGGAGAGGAAGGGAAGGGGTAGGGGGCGGAAACGAGGGAAGGGGGAGGGTGGGGGGGTGGAAGGGATGGAGGGGATGAAAAGGAGGGAAGAGGGGGGAGGAGGAGGGAGGAGAGGGGATGGAAAGGAGGGAAAGGGGAGAGGGAGGGAAGGGGGAGAGGGAGGGAAGGGGGAGAGGGATGGAAGGGGGAGGGCGAGGGTATGGAGGTCAGCTCGGATCAGCGCGCACGTCACCCGCTGTGGCGCATGCGTACAACACCTCCACTGTTGTTGTTCTGGTACTTCCCAGGCTCTCTCTCTCTCTCTCTCTCCAGGAACCTCCCATAGCCTTCAGAAACCTCCCATAGCTTCCAGGAACCTCTCATAGCCTCCAGGAACCTCCCATAACCTCCAGGAACCTCCCATAGCCTCCAGGAACCTCCCATAGCCTCCAGAAACCTCCCATAGACTCCAGGAACCTCCCCATAGCCTCCCAGAACCTCCCATAGCCTCCAGAATCTCCCATAGCCTCCAGGAACCTCCTCCCAGCCTCCAGAACCTCCCATAGCCTCCAGAAACCTCCCATAGCCTGTGAACCTCCCATAGCCTCAGAAACCTCCCATAGCCCCCAGAAACCTCCCCATAGACTCCAGGAACCTCCCATAGACTCCAGGAACCTCCCATAGACTCCAGGAACCTCCCATAGACTCCAGGAACCTCCCATAGACTCCAGGAACCTCCCATAGACTCCAGGAACCTCCCATAGACTCCAGGAACCTCCCAAAGACTCCATAAGCCTCAGATAACCCCGATAGTTTCAACGTAAAGGCCTCTCAATGGAGCTGAGGGAAGAAGAAGAAGAAGGGGAGGAAGAGGAAGGAGAGGAAGAGGAAAAGGAGGAAGAGGAGGAAGAAGAGGAAGAAGAAGAGGAGGAGGAGGAGGAGGAGGAGGAGGAGGAGGAGGGTGATGAAGTGTGGAGTAGATAAATCAGTGTTCAATTAAGAGAAGCCTTGTAACATTATCAGCTAATACGAAGGGGAGGAAGAGGATGTGGGTGGTAGGAGGGGCGGGATTGTGGGTGGGCGGACGTGGGTGGGCGTGAGATGAGGGCTTAAGGGTGTGAAGTAAGGGTTTGAGGGTGGTAGGAAGATGTGGGTGGGTGGGTGGTAGAGGTGCGGGTGGGTAGGTAGGTAGGTAGGTGGGTGGTGGTGGTGGTGGTGGTGTAGGTGACAGACATAGTTCACCACACCTGTAACTGATCTACTATGTGAGGTTCATCAGATGCGGGGGATCATCACCTCCTTCCTGTACCCCTCCAAATCTCCCTCCAGTCCCTCCACCCCTCCTTCCATCCCTCCACACCCTCCAGTACCCCTCCCTCCCTCCTCCAACACCCTCCCTAGACACACACACACTGACTGACGGTAGATGACACAGGTGCAGACATCAGTACTCACCGTCAAGGAAGGAAGGTAGATCGGTAGAAGTCAAGGTAGATGAGGCTAAGAGATGAGGCTCACTCAACCTAGTAGCCGCCAACCCACTCATCCCGAGGTAGTCGCCGCCCACTGATAAACCTGAAATAAAATAACATACAGTGAGATACAACAGCCTGGGATACATCATGATACAGCTACATGCAATAAGACGGGGTAAAATACAATAGGATGCGATAAAATACGACAAAAAAGTAAAAGGATGAGATAAAATATAATGAAACGCAATAAAATACTGTAAAGACGCAACAAAATACTATAAGACGCAATAAAATACAATAAATACAATTAAACATAATATAATCCAAAACATCACAACATAATACAATCAGATACATCAAAAATTAATAGATCATAATAAAATACAATAGGTCAATAGAATACCGGACAGTAATGAACTTGACAGGTAGACCACAGACAGGTAGCGCGGGCGAGACATAATCAACTTCAAAATACCAAGTTTACACCCCCCCCCCCACACACACACAACACACACACGACGCCATCAATAACCAATGCGGTACACGGTCCAGGTATAAAACGCCTGATTTAGTGCGCCCAGGTGACGAAAATTAAGTCATTTGCAAACACGTCTTTTATAGGATGGCAATACAAATACGTTCTTCCTCCAGTGGCTGAATACATCGCTCATTTTCATAATATATCGTTCAATTACTTTAATAAAAAAAATGGATAAAATAGAACGATATATTATGGAAAATGATGAAGAGGAATGAGTTGTCACAGATGGGCGTGGCTTTATGAGTGTGGCAGTATATAACGTTCAGTCCCATTGAGTATTGATCAGTGCCCATATAGGAGTGTAGGGGGAATGTAGCATATGAATCACTGTGGGAGGTGATGAAGGTGAAATGAGAAGATGCCGTTGGGCGTGGCCTTGAAGGAGTGGGCGGGGCGTAGGTTCAACCCATAGTAAACACACACTACTGTTTTGTGACAAAGATGTTGAAGGAAAATAACATTATTGACGGTTTTATTAATGTTTTTGTGGGATTTTAGTTTTTATTTACACTTACAAAATCCACTATAACTATTCTCTACCACTATCTACCACTACCACAATTCTCATACACCATAACCACGATTACTTCTGTCACCATTAAGAATAATTATCATCATTACAATCACTACTACTAACAACAGCAACAACTATCAAATTCTAATACTCTTAACCACAACTACCACCACTATTAACCTGTATCAACTACCCTACCTCTACCACCCCTATTACTACCACCATCACTATCCCTACCAAACACACTACCAGGACACCCCAGGGCAACCAACATCGCTAACTACCACCACCGCTACCACCACCACCACACAGCCTGCAGCACAACACAACAGATGGGGTGCGGTGTGGAGGTAAATAGACAGGCAGGTAGGTTAATAGGCAGGTTAAGAGGCAGGTAGGTTAATAGGCAGGTTAAGAGGCAGGTAGGCTAAGAGGCAGGCAGGTTAAGAGGCAGGTAGGCTAAGAGGCAGGCAGGTTAAGAGGCAGGCAGGTTAAGAGGCAGGTAGGTTACGAGGCAGGTTAAGAGGCAGGTAGGTTAAGAGGCAGGTTAAGAGGCAGGTAGGTTAAGAGGCAGGTTAAGATGCAGGTAGGTTGAGAGGCAGACAGGTTAAGAAGCAGATAGGCTAAGATGCAAGCAGGCAAGTAGGCAAACAGGTAGGCAGGTTAAGAGGCAGGGTAGGCAGGGCAGGCTGACAAAAGACCAACCACACACTACAGGCTACAAGACTACTTTAGGGTGGTCCTGTCATGTTCACAAATGACACTATCTTCACCAAAATACTTAATACTTACAAATGTATTTATAGTAAAGTAATTAAGAAAAACCGGTTGTGGGTTGCCTGCGTGCATGAGAGAAGTGTAGTGAAGTGTTCTACCAGGCTGTTAAGTGTTTGTAAGTGTTCTACCAGGCTGTTAAGTGTTTGTAAGTGTTCTACCAGGCTGTTAAGTGTTTGTAAGTGTTCTATCAGCCTGTTAAGTGTATTGTAGGTGTTCTATCAGGCTGTTAAGTGTATTGTAAGTGTTCTATCAGGCTGTTTAGTGTATTGTAAGTGTTCTACCAGGCTGTTTAGTGTATTGTAAGTGTTCTACCACTTAACAGGATGGCAAGAACACTTAACAGCAATTATACGAATTTATCAGAATATTTAACAACATAATAAAAACTTAAGTACTTTTAAATGTGGTAAAACACTTTATACATTTAAAAGCCTGATAAAACACTTAATATCCAGATAGAACACTTACACCAGGTGGGTAGGTCACTTAAAATCTTGGTAGATTCTAATAAGAACACTTTACTGACTCGTAAACTACTTAAAATACTTAAAGACTTGATATAACACTTTACAGCACTTAATATCCTAAAAAAAACACGTAATATTCTTGTAGTACACTTTGAAACACTTTACAGTCTAAGAGAGCACTTTAGAACACTTAACGTGCTCAGAGAACACTTTGAAACACTTAATCATCCTGGAAGAACACTTTAAATCTCTGAAACTCCTGAGTGGACACTTTAGATTAAAACCCCCAGAGAACACTTTAAAACACTTATAATCCATGAAAAAAAATTACTTTAGAACACTTATAAGCACTTAAAACACCTCTGAACACTTAAAAACACCTCTAAACACTTACAAACACTTATAAACACTTAAAAAACACGTATAAACACTTTAGAAGAGCAGAGCACAAGGGGAATCCAGTAACATGATATCTGACGGAGTACGTGAGTGAGATGTTAAGTGAGGGGGAGGAGGGAGGGAGGGGGTAGGGGAGGGAGGGGAGAGTGGGGTAGTACACACTTGCACGCACGCACATACACATACACAAGATACAGTGTCTCAGTTTTATGTTGTACACAAAAAATAAAACCTGCAACAGAAGCCAGCTCGGGTTACCTGCGTGTACTTAATTAATAAACCCCAGAACATCCGCCCAGGGAGAGGCAGGGAGAGTGTGAGGCAGGGAGTGTGTGTGTGAGGGAGTGTGTGTGGCAGGGAGAGTGTGTGAGGAAGGGAGAGTGTGAGAGACCCAATGAATGTCGACAAGCAGTTGACTTTCGCGACGCTCAACCAATCATAACACGATGAGGACCACATCTCTGTCGTGATTGGCGGCTCAATTCTCCGCTGGTGACAGGTGAACTATTTTCGCAGGACGGACGGACGGAGGGAGGGAGGGAGGGAGGAGGGAAGGGAGGGAGGGAGGAGGGAAAGGGAGGGAGGGGGAGGGAGGGGGGAGGGAGGGAGGTGGGGGTGGGAGGGAGGTGGGGGTGGGAGGGAGGTGGGGGGATGGCTTGTGTTTTGTGTGAGAATGCCTTGGCAGGGGTGTGTGATGCGGGCAGGTGGTACAATGTATCCTGACTATGTATCTTAATATGTATGTGTATGTATGTATGTATGTATGTATGTATGTATGTATGTATGTATGTATGTATGTATGGAACTTGTGACTCAATAACTCAACAAAGATCAGAGCTACACCACCACCATTAGCACCACCAACACCACCATAAGCACCAACACCACCACCACCACCACCACCAACAACAACAACAACAGCAGCAGCAGCAATACCATTTACACACACACACACACACACACACAGAGCAGAGTCAGGTAAGCCACAGAGGCCTTAAAGGTGATCCACCTAGACCTCCGCCACAAAAACTTAATCCTTATGGTACGGGACAGATGTGTCAACAGCGGCGTGACCAACACACACTCTTAGTCCAGGCGATGACAGCCTTCCCGAGTCTCTGATGTCACCTACACTATGGGTCTGTCTGTCTGTCTGTCTTTCTTACCTCCCTCCCCCTACCCTCCCTGTTTTACCTCCCTCCTCTTTCTACCCTCCCTGTTTCCTCCTCCACTGTTCCTACCCTCCCTGTTTTACCTCCCTCCCTCTTCTCTCCTGTCTTACCTACCTCCTCCCTCCTCCTCTTCTGCCCTCCTGTTTTACCTCCTCCCTCCCTCTTCTACCCTCCCTGTTTTACCTCCCTCCTCCTTCTACCCTCCCTGTTTTACCTCCCTCCTCCTTCTACCCTCCCTGTCCTTCCTCTCCCTGCTCCTCTCCCCCACCCCCCCCTTAAAGCTCCATAGTCTAGGGTAGGTTCAATAGGGTAGGGAGGTCAATAGGTACTCCTCTCTCTCTTCCCAGATGGCCGCTGTAAACGCTTCTGCGCTTCACCTTGCACAGGATGTAAGGGGGTGCCCAATAAACTAGCCCCCTCGAGGGCAATCTAAAAAAAATCTAAAAAAATATCACTCTCTCTCTCTCTCTCTCTCTCTCTCTAGAGTTCTTCAGTAGGTTAGGTTTGGTTGTATTAAGTTAGTTTAGATTAAATTTGATTACAATAAGTTTAGATCGAGATAGATCAAGATAAGGTTAGGTTAGATTAGGTTAACATTGGTTTGGTTAGGTTAAGATTCGTTTGGTTAGGTTAGGTTAGGAAGATCCACTACTGGTAAAAAGTACTTCCTTAAGAAGAAAAAAACAGCAGTCAAATAACATGCTACAGATTCTGAGGCACTTCAGTAGTGCTGTCACACCAATTCCACCATACACAATTTGAGAGAGAGAGAGAGAGAGAGAGAGAGAGAGAGAGAGAGAGAGAGACAGAGAGAGACTGAGAGAGAGAGAGAGAGAGAGAGAGAGATTCACTACTGTAAACAACTAATTACATGATCATCACAATAGAGGTGATTAATCTGGCACTATCAGTAACAATATTGGTGGCACTCTGGCACTGATAACATTCCTGGTGGGACCTTAACAAACGCTGCTGCATCTTCACTGGTCAGGTCACCACACTGGCACCATTGCCCATTGTCACTTTGCCTTGGCACTCTGGTACTGATAACAAAATCACAGGCACTCTGGCACTAAAATTATTGTGTTTCACCTCCATAAGACTACTACTCGTGCTACTCTTGATACTGGTAACACTGCTAGTGGCACTTTGGTCACTGGTAACACTGTTGGTAGCACTAATGGCAACACTGGTCATGACACTTTGGACATTGGTAACACTGACGGTCGG